CCAATCACTAGCCGCCACGTGTGAATAATTTAGAACTGGCCAATGGTGGGGCACACATTTGAATACGAATGGCGGGAACTCTTTGCAACGAGCATTTCTGTGCTGCAACAAAGAAATGCACCCTGCAAAGAAAGCTACTGGTGGCGGGAATTCTTTTGCACCGGGGTTCTCTTCTGCAGCAGAAAACTCCACCGTGCAAAGAAACTGCAGTTTAGCGGGAACAATTTAGCAATGCCGAAGCACACACAAACAAAATCACACCCTTGGGTTGTGACAAACGGCAGTCAATTATGTAAAAGACAAATAATGTATTCTGCCTCGGTGTCTTATTGACAAATGTTGCTATATTTACACATTTGATAAATGTCTTTACAATAAAAAATATTAAGAACATAACCCAAAAAGTTGACAGTGCTTTTTTTCTGTGTAAATATACACTAGAGCAGTGATTGTCAACTAGGGAGCCATGAGATCTTTTCAAGGGTATTGGGTGTCACACAATGTTAGCACTTAGGTATGCCAGCACGGTTCACAATCAGAACACAGCGATTTCCAATAGGAATCCATAGCGTCAAAAACATTCTGACTCAAATTCTTTCTGACTTCTTTGCAACATAAAAATTGCTCTATAATTTTTTTGTAGTCGAAAACAAGTGAAAACTAAGAGCTGTCATTTTCCAAGGGGTGCCTTGACTCTAACAAGGTTGAGAACTCCTGCACTAGACAATCCGGTGCGTGATCTTCTAAATTACTAGTTTTCCAGTCTGGAGCATTAAAGATGACTGAATCTTCTTCTGTGCTAGTTCTGCTCTCAGTACTCGTAAATCAGAAGCTGCTTGTTTTCTCATCTACCGAGGAAGCAGAGATTATTTAAGGAAGACTCTGGAGTTGAAGCCCATACTGTTTTATATAGATAAATAGTAACACACAGACACAATATTCTAGTTCAAGCTCTGGTTTTCAGCAGGGGTGGGGGGTGGTTTTGTTTTTTGTTTTATGTTTCTGGGGTTTGTTTGGGTTTTTATTACTTTAGTCTCCTATTTTTAAGAATCAAAACCTGAAGTCCTTATTCAAGTAAACTTCCGCTGATGTCAGTGGTAGATAGCTTGAGTAAAGAATAATGAAAAGAAGATTGAAAATCTCAGGATTTAAACATTTGATTTGTAGAATATTTTCCATGCTTGTGATTTTTACTAGCAATGACAGAATTGGCTTCCATATTGGAGATAAGACATGGGGTCACATTCTAATTTGCTTTATATTGTATTCAACATTTTCTCATTGTAATTATCTGTATCTTCCCCAGTGTAACTAAAATAAAAATGACTCCAGATTTTTAGGCAAGGGGATGATTTGAGGACTTGGTCTGTCTACAGCTTAGGAACTTGTTGGTGTTATAAAGCTGTTACTATGAAAAATTCAGTATTGCCTCATGCATTAGCCTTTTGATGACAAAACCTCTAGCACACATCTGCCTAATGACAGTGGAGAGGGATTTTGACTCAATAACTGCTGTGCTAAGGAGGTTGGCTGGAGCTGAGAGAAGCTACAGTTTTTAAGCTGCCTGGAGGGAAGGGGAGTTGGAGAGGTGATACTTAATAGTTCAGTTTTGTCATTAACTCAAGTGAGAAAGCAACAAATACCATCACACTCACAGAAAAGTTTAATTTGAGGAGATTTAATTATCTCAACTATTGACTAATTTTTCAAAGTTTCAAATACATGTTATGACTCGATGTTTACAGGGAAGGAAATCTATATAATTCTGATTTCCAGGTTTGTTAGGACACATGCGAATTACCTTAATTTCTATGATAAGTTTCATTTTGATATTATCGAGCTTTCTCTTTAGGTGATCGATTGCGTGTTGCTCTGTGGTGATCTGGATGATGGTGGCGTTCTGCGTGAAACAAACAAAGCGTGTTTATACCTGCAGTACTAGGAGGTTTGTTCTCTGTGGTCTACAGGATTAAGTACCTGAATAAATTGGTGAAGGACAGCGATTGGCATGTACCTTCTAGGGAGCCAACAAAGGACAGCATTAGGTATGTATCTTCTGGGGTGCCACGCAGGTACAGGTCAGATATATAAAGATACTTGGAGGTTTTTTCCCATAACAACCCACACAGATCTTAACCGTGTTCTGTTAGCATTCTCCACCTTGTTATCTTACCATGAAACACTCCAGATAGATAAAGATTAATTCAGGGCTTGTCCTCATTACCCAGGGCACTAGACTGGTTTTAAACATGCAAAGCAAAAAGGCACTAAAATTGTTCCAGACAAGTGATTTTTCTCTTTTTTAAGTGAATTGAGCTCTTTTATATCTATTGCTAGGGTCTCTCAATGAAGCCAGTTAGATTCCCTGCAGATTAATTAAGCACAACAGGCTTTTACAGGTTGTTATTTCACGTATCAAGCTTGAAACTTCTGGGTCCTTTAAAAACAAAACAAAACGTGACAAATAAGAACCAGCGACCCTACCTTAGAGCCTGCAATGTGTGTTGCGTTTTTTGCTCGTTTCCCGCTATCCCTGGCTTCCAGCTGTGACAGTAACTTTTGGTGAGAAAGCTCTAAGTCTTGCCGCAATTTATTTAAATTATCTTCAAGTGAAGCTGTAGCCTTTTTGGTTTCAAAGTACTTCTTTTTCCATGCCTGGCGAGCTATAAATGAAAAACAACAGCTCAGCATGCTCTTCTCAGGTTAATTGGACTTGTAGAAGAAATAATGACAACAGGCGTGTGGGTGGAGGGAGTTCAGTCGGGGGTTTTCAGCCCCCTCAGGAGTGTGAAGCAGGTGTATTGGAGCCTCCCGAGGTGTGGGAGAGGAGGGGCTCCAATTCACCCACACCAGCCTTGAGCACTGGCTGGGGAGCCCCAAGAATGAGCTCCCTCTGCTGCCTTTCCCCACTCCCATTCTGAAAGCCAAGCACTGGCCGAGAGCCCGGGCCCTTGCTATGGGAACCTGGGTGCAGGCTCCCAGCCCCAGCTAGATTCCCCTGACCCTGGAACCAACAGTGAACTTCTGTTTGGTCTGGGTTAACGTCGTCACTTTAGAGAAATCGTTCTGACTGGGAGCTGCACTTCTGTCTGCACCCCAAGTGGTTTGGTAACACTGTTAACTTCAAAGGGGGTTATGTGTATTAAATGCAAGAGGGGATTTCTTTTTAAGAACACAATGGCTAGCCAAAGTAAAAACTGCCTCAGTTATACTGTCACCACTGGATCAGCTGAACTCTAACCAACTGAAACTTCAGATTAGCTCTGTCACGCAAGGTTTGTCCATGGCTGGAGCAGGAGTGCTGCAGCACTACACCTTCAGGCCTGTGCAGGCTGGCAGCAGCAGAGACTGCAATGTTCCCAAGTGCCTGATTTGCAGAAGTTCGTAGCAGCACAGGACTAGAGAAACAGGCCTACAACAGTTCTTTACCTTACAGCAAGTGTGTTTCTTCAAGATGTTACCTACATAGATCCAGACCTGTTGGAAAGGAAAAGGAGGGGCGGGGAAGAGAGAAGGAAAGTGGGGAAGAGGGGAGTAGGCTGGAGGGATCTGGACCTGCCTGAGGGGAGGGGGAGCAGCCCTGATTGTGGTGCATGGGCAATGGCCCAAGCGAGGCTGGAGCTGGCCACTTGTAGCTTCTGTTGCTCCCCACTGCCAAACTTTCTGACCCATTGGGCTCCCTGTGGGCAAAAAGTCATGGCTTTGTGGGCTGGATTTGACCAGTGGGCTAGAGGTTGAGCACCCCTGGTGTGAAGGATTTAGATAAGACTCTGAAGGTTTTAATTGAATTAAAATATAAAAGAATGAGTTCTTAAGGAGCCTTTGGCTTGAAGCCCCATTGCAGTATCATTGGTGTGTGATAGAAAAGGGATAAAGGAGTGCAAAACTGAAAATACCTTAGCAAGTGGGTGGAATTTAAGGGAGACCTGTCCCCTGTGAAAAAGAATGTATGTTGAGCCTTCTAGGAGAAGTGGTACTGTTTCCTGCACTGAGACTGCATGCTGTTGTCAGAGATAAATGGTATAGACTCCAGGAGGCTAATCCTTTCAACAGAAACCGTGTCAGTCCAGCTAAGACCCTCCCTCCCCACAACCATTAAGGGTAGTGTTAACAGTAACCTTTAAATCATTTTAAAAAAACACTTAAAATGATAATGTCCATTCATTAAAGGGTGTTAAACTGTGCTAAGTACCACTCCAAGCATCTTAAAGTAATGCCCTTGCAGGGGAGGGTTGGTTATCTTTGAGACTTTCAAGCTAGCTGGAGCTAGGTATTGTTAGTCTGCTCTGCAGCAATAACATGACCACTTTGCAGTTAACCAGCACCCTAGAGTAGAGGGCTGCCAGCACCTCTGCCCCTGACAAATTTTCCACCATCCAAAGCTGTACTACCCAGGGGGGGTGGTACTGGCCCCAAGCTAACACCCCCTCTAATCTGCTGCCACTGCCAGTGCATATTGTTCCTCCCCAAGCCCACATGGTACCATGCTGCTGGCTCCAAGAATCCTAGGAAATCCTGGGATGGGAACCCTGGGACGAGGACCAGACACCTGGGATGGAAGCGGGGTGGGGACTCGGGGGGCTAAGATCTGGTTTGGTAGGCCCTTGTGCAGGCAGCTGGCATACAGCCAGCTACCTGAGCTTAGCTTGGCACTTGCCAGCCCCCTTTAGCTCCCCCATCACAGCCAGCATAACCCCTGATACCCCTAACTCAATTGCACACCCCCCCTCCCCCCCAAACCAATCCCAGGTCATTGAAACACATGAAATATTTGGTCTTTATTTATTTATTTTGCTTTTTCTCCCCCTCTTTATTTCAAACACTACATTTTATCGAGAAATTTCTCCACCCCCACCCTTGCCTCTGTCTCCTGCTGTAGCAGAGAGTGGGATGGAGGGAAGCCATAGCCCCCGTACTGCTTTCTCTGCCTTCTGGCTTCATGATCCTGACACATGGCCCACCCCTCCCAGCCCAGGGGAGGGATATAGTCCTAGCTCCTGGCCATGCCCCTCTCTAGTGGCAAGTTACAGTTGTGCGCATAGGAGACAACATTCAGCCTTAACCTGCAACTGCTCTGAAACACTTCTAACTACCACTGCCTAACATGCCACAGCTTTAGAATGGTTTAAAGGTCCCTGTAACAATGTCCTAAGAAGCATTCTTAAAAGCAACAGTAGACTGTTTGAATTGCTGAGAGTCCATGGAAGACTTCTGGATATGATGCTCCCACGTGTGATGTAACAGTGCCATTGTTCATACACAGATTTATTGAAGTCCCACAGAACACTCCCAGGGAAAGCAGATAGTTTACCCCTGAATTTCTCTGTACGTTATACAAAGGAGCTTTTGGAATGGGGCTCCTTAATCCACCTGATCATCTGTAATTAAGCACATACTGGGCACATCTACACATTCATTAATGCGGTGTAACAACCTGTAATGACAGATACTAAGAATGAGCCATAATCAGCACTACTGTGCATTAGCACACATGAACAGTTTTTTTTTTTTTTGTTGATGATGTTAATGTGCATTGGACTAAATCTGTTCATTAGCACAGGTTTTGCCCACTGCGCTAATGAGCGGTAGAATTAGTCCTCCCACTGTAACACTAGTGAGGCATAAGAATTCATACCCTTGTTCGCACAAGTTTCTAGATTTCTTCAATCACCTCAAGATGTGATCCAATCAAAGCACGTACCGTGATATCTTTTCAGTTGGTTTTGTTCCAGCAGGCCTTTGGCTTTCTTGATCAGTTCCTCTCTGATTCTTTCCATGTGCAGTCTTTTTGCCTTCCTTTGTTCCAGCTCTTCTGCCAGTTTGATTTCTGAAGATATTGCAGCCTGTGCTTACTAAATAGATGTCCAGAGTGGGAAAGCCCAGTTCTATTTAACCTTACTGCAGCACCCCCACCATAAAGCACATTAAGCCATAGCAGTCTGTGTCCTTTACATACTCATAGGGTGCGTCTACACAATATGATTTATTGTGCAGTAGATTAGTCTACTGCGCAGTAAAGCATCACTGCTTAGATGTTTTCACGTTTACTGTGCAGTAAATTAGTCTACGCGAAGTTAGCTACGACCTATAAATACACATAGTAAATTAACTGCACAGTAGATACTATGCAGTAACACATGTGTAGATGCTGGCCAGGAGCAAATATGCTCCTGGTCAGCCTAGCCAGCAGGGGGCCACAGGGGACAGGAAGCTCTCTGTCCCTGATCCTGGTGCTGCTGAGCTCCCCGCAGAAGCTGGATCAGCACCAGGACTGGGCAGATCTCTGCTTCCTGTCGCAGCATGGAGCTGGCTGCTCTGGGTGACAGGTGAGGGCTGGATTCCCAGTCCCACTCCCCAGAGCAGTCAGTTCCATACCAAGCAGGGCAGCTGCTGGTGAGCCCTATGCCCCTCTGTCTGGCAGGAGACTCCCCTGCAGCTGTCCCACACTGCTGGCAGCTCCCAGTAACTCCCTGCCGGCAGAGCCATCCCTTGTGGGGAGGAGGGGGCGCAAATCAGGGCGACCGCCCTAGGCACCACGCTTTGGGGGCCCTGCAGACAGTGCCATTGGCATGTGCCATGCTCCAGCCGCTCATCACTGCCCCCCCCACGCCGCGCTCCAGCCCTTCGTCACCCCCTGCCCCCTGTGCTCCAGCCACTCGCTACCACCCCACCCCTCCTGCACAGGCCCCACACAGGCTGATCTGTTCCGGGCCCTGTACACCCCTAGGGTCAGCTCTGTCTGCCGGGCAGGGAAGCCCTGCCGGCAGGGGGCTTCCTGGCAGCTGTGTCTGGATGAGCATGGAGCCAGGACAACTCTGCCTGCTTGCAGGGGCTGCTCTCTCCCGGCCCTGTGTACATCACATTTCCTCCTAATATATACGGGGCCAGGAGACAGTCGCCGCTGCAGCCAACAGAGCTCCTGTGGGGAGAAGCCTGGAGCTCCCCCTGGCTGCTGCAAGGGGGCAGAGCAGGGTGGGCGAAGCCCTGTAGCAGGTTGCTCCCACTGGGAGCAAATCTGTTTTGAAGAGGGAGCACATGGAGATGAGTTCCTTGGTAGGCTTACTGCGCAGTATTTTTAATAGCACATGTAGGCACACCCATAGAATAGGATTTCAAGTGTCCTGTCTCTGACTGGTGTTCTGGAAAAACAGGATAAAAATCTAGGATGCACTCAGCCCTTAATGGATGTATGAATAAACAACAAAAGTCCACTTTAAATGGGCATGAAACATACTGCAAGGACTCTTATTAAAAGGGAAAGCAAGAGGAAAACACACGTGTTAACTTTTTGCCAGCTGAGGCCTAAAGAATAAGAGGCAATTTCAGTAAGTATACTATAAGAGAATGGCTAGTTGCTCACTCACTAAGTCAAGAACTTTAAGATACATGTGCTTGCACCAGGCTGGCTCAGTACAACCAGCGGCCACTCAAATACTTCCACTACAAACACCTTTCAGTTATGGCAGGGATCTACTGCAACCCACACCCTCTTGAGCCAGCACCAACTCATGCAGGTCCCCCTCCCCCTCCTTTGTGCTTCAAATTCCCAGTGAGGGAAGCTGGGGAGTGGGGAGCATCCTTCAGCCTAGGGGGAGGCTCTTCTGGGTTCTGTGCCATGAACAGCCAATGGAAGCTTATTATTTCCTCAACTCAATTTGATTTTACAATACTACTGTGAACTGCTGTTGTGAACTACAACTTTTACTGAAACCCTCATTCCCATCTTGAGCAAATGTTCAACCCCTTGAGATCTTTGCAAAGCACATACTTACTTGCTACCTCTGTGGCATCTACAGGAAGAGTCAGCAGAGGTGGAGCAGGAGGGGAAATATATTGACTGGGATGTGCTGGATGACCTAAATTATTCTCAGCTGTCTGGAGTCAAAGGAAAAGGGTATAAATGCAAAATATTGACCTCACTGTATTTGGAGGTCTTTAATATGAGGCAACCTCTACCTTCCCCTACACCTGGGCTGCCCTGTAAAGCTGCAGTGGTATAGGGGAGATATGACTTCTTTGTGCACCATCCAGTGAGATCGCTTCTAAGTTCCCATTGGCTAAACCTCTGCCAACACAGTAAAGGGACTGGGGTGAAGACTTTTTTTTCCTTAGAGTCAGGTTGAATGGTAGGGCAGATTGATTTTTTTTTAACTTGTAAAAAAGCTTCATGGTATTAGGAGGAGAGCCTGCCTCTGGAGCCCAGCAGTATGGGGCTGTACCTTGGTGCTAGGACCAAGGCTCTTAGCTCTGCGCTTTGGTTACGACAGTGCCTGGGGAATGTTGGACAACAAGCCATCCATCTAAGCCATCCATTTGCACAGTGGAAATGGCAGGTCTCCCACCTGAAAAAAAGGCTCTGAGGGGAAGCAAACCTACAGCTTTGACACCCCAAGGGGCACAACTTATTCACCAAGCTACTAGTTAGGTCTGTAACCCCCCCTGCCTTGAGGCTGTGACCTGTGTGGCCAAGGAAAGCAAGTTTCTGAGAGCCAGGAAAGCAGTCTACCAGGGGCCCCTAGTGCAGTAGCCCAGTGGGCTGGCTGCTGACCTGGAAGCAGGAGGTTAGGGTTCTGGTTCTGGTCTGTGTGTGTGAGGCTGAGTCAGCTTGGTTCCCTTTGGGGCCTATTATTATTCAGTATAGAATATTTAGGCTGTCCAGGCCCTAGTCTGGCAGGTTCTGCATCCTCCTAGCAGAGAGGACCCTATAGCCTCTGATGCTCATAGAAACTGGGTCTCCCAGTTCTTCAGGATATGCTCAGGAGGGAAACCCACTTCTTGGGCATAGCCAAAGCATGTCTAAGTCTCACGGCTACAGTCTAGGCTGCCTTGACAGCTTGCCAGACTGCCCCTTGAGGCTGTACTGCTGTGTAGAGAGGAAGCCAAGGTTTTTGGGGCCAGGAATAGGCTTGACTAATGGCAAGGTGGCTTGGGGCAGGGGGTGGTCTCTCTTTTTCCCCAGCCAGCTGCGTTTTCATGTAAAATACAGAATATCTCCACCTTGATAGGTGTGGTTTTACATCTCCATTGGAGAAGGGCATCAAACCCAGAACTGGGCAGCTGGGAGATGCTTTGCTCAAGGGCTTGGAGATAAGGGGATTCAAACCCACATCTGTTTCCTAGACTTATGCACTACCTACCAAGCGACTGGTCAGGGGTAAGCCTTCTCCAATTACCCCTTGAGACTGTGGCTCTGTACAGCAGGAAAGACAAGTTTCTTGAGGTCGGGAAGGGAGTATACCAGAATGAGCCCTATAGCTTGGATGTGTGCAGTAATGTTAGGTGCGAGTCTGGTTAATCCTACCCCACAAGGCCAGCATAAGTGTCCGGGCAGCACAAGTGGCCACCTAGGGCCACAAATTGAAGTGGAATAGCAACAACAGTGTGCGCACAACATGCACATGCTCCTTGGGGCCACCGCTGGAGTCTCGGCATGTGCTGAGCTGCCACTACAGGGCTTTGTCTGATGCCTGCTCTTGCCAAGGTACGTTACAAGGGAGGGTGGCAAACTTTTGTTTGCCTAGGGCTGCAAAAATCCTTGTGCCACTCCTGCCCTCCCTGCCACCTAGAACTGCCTGTTATTCAGCTAATAGCCAGTGCACTCAGCTGCCAGAAGACAGCATGGAGTCTTAAGCCTTCAAGTTGAGGGCTCACAAATCACTGATCTTCCACTTGGCAGAAGAATATTCTCAGTGGAATCAATTCTACAGCTTTGGACACCAAGGGACATAGCTGCAGCTACCACCAGGCTGCAGTCTAGGCCAGCAACTTGACCTCTACAATCTCCCAACTTTGAGTTCTGCTTTGTCCAGGAAGACAAGCTTCATCTGGCTAAGGGGAAAGTCCAGCAGGGGCCGCTAGCTGAGCAGCGCTGTTGTTTCCCCTGGAGGTAAGAGAGAAGTTTCATTGCCAAAGGGAACCTGGCTCTGCAGCAAAGTATATTTGTGCTAGATGGGGTCCCTGATTCTGGTCTTTGCAGCCTGGATTACTTTTCTAGTGTGTTTTAATTCACCCTTTTCTATTACATTCAAACCTTCATCTAAGTTTTGCACTTGCATAATCTGAGTCAGTTGTACTATTACATTAAAAATCTTCCTGATGGAAAATATTTCTGTACACTACTAATAATAGGTTACTTCTAAAGACATACCTGATCATCCTGTTTTCCACCAATATCAGCAACAGACATGCCAGTTATTTGTTGATGGCTAAACGGTAAAATCACATAATGAAGTAAAATTAACTTAATTAAACTCATCTCAGACTCAGAGTTAATTAAAGTACTTGTTTTCCTTCAGGGTTTCATTTTACAGAAGTTTATAAAGCAGTTTTTATGAATGAGTCATAATAATTACTTAACTACATTTACCTTTTCTTATTATGAACATCTTGTAGGACATTGTCTTCCAATGATTCTGGAGATCTGGAATTTTCTGTAGTTTTTCTTTCTAAACTACCTTTTAATTTTCCTTCATATTCCATATTTGTAACTAGTAGTGTAGGGATTTGATCTATGAAAAACAAAAGCTAAAATATTTAGACTACATTTATAATGCTTTAAGTCCTCTTTGGACTCTAATATTGGCACACCCAAAGAACAAAGTTAAAGCTATAAAACTCTCTAGTAAAATTTGGCTATTATATTAATGATATAATTTAAAACTGTATTTTATCAAAATGGATACTGAAAAAAAAATAATTCTTCATAGTATCTTCAGAAATGGAAGACAAGGGAGTCATTAATAAGGTATGGTACATCAGTTTTTACTTAAAATTCAGCAAAAATTATTTCCCCCTTTTTTAATCTTGAGGAATTTAAGGGTTTTACGGTATTCTGAAGACGCATACAGGCTTTCGTTATTCAGAAAACATCTAGTAGCAGAAGGGGAAGTAAAAATAGAAGGGAATGTGGAGTTGACGCATCTTTTTCAAAATCATTTCTCAATCCTGGCAGATGACTGACATTTGTAATGCAGTTTTATTCTAAGCCCACCCACAGTTTTATATTATTTCCAATATAGACTATTCAGGGAACCTTTTCTCAGTTTTAAACGTAAACTCTCCAGTTTTTTAAAGTATATTAACATTCTACTTCGTAGGAGGAAAGTAGAAGTACTTTCCATTTATTGGTGTTGTAAGTGATTAATAGTAAATCTGAATAGAGATGGTTGACAATGAACATTTCAGTGAATGAAATTCTTTCCCCTGTTATCATATTCCTGTGACAAGTGATGCAGG